AAAAAAACACGACTGGGTTTTCTGATCGCGTCAAACGTGACACTGCCAAATGCATTCCACTCTCTGTCCTCTTAAAAGTTGCACGAGGCGACTTCACAATCCGGCGGCCTCAAGGGTTGGCTAATGAGGTGGGATTTATGTAATGTGACATCAGTCTCTAGACCTAAATTTCTTCCATTAATGCTGCGTTGTTTTTTTTTCAAAGTTAGAAGTTTGGAGAAGTTCCTCTTCTATTTTAAATTTGTTATTTATTTTTTTGCAGTGTGTATCTGATGTCTCTGTAGACACTAGCAATCCAGTTAGGAAGGCTGTGTTTTCTAGTTTAGGCCATTAGGCCACAATAAAGTGTCTTTAAATGCATAATGTGAGAGCTTGACTATTTATTGGCCTGGTCACTGTTGAAGGTTTCTGAAGGTTTGAAATTTCTGCCAAATATGATCAATACCTTAGAGCTACAAAGTAGTTTGATGGGTAACAAAGTAAAAGCTGTACCAAGTTAAGTTCTGCAAGATGTGAAACTCACAATTGATATGGCTAATGTGTTGGCTAACTGCTGACTATCTACACACCCAGCAGACATGAAGCAACAGTTTAATTTATTTAGATTTGTATTACATTCACCTTATAAGTCCAAGTACACTTTTAGCTTAGTTTTTCCCTTTTTGAAATCACTAGCTAGCGGCTAACATTTCATTCCATTAAGCTAGCTTCCACACCAAGGATTGTGTGTTTTACAGCTGGAATTTTTGACTTTAAATCAAAACTCTATCACTGAGTTTCTGCTGTTGTTTAATGAGAGGCTCTTCTCTTTTTTTAAATAAAAAATCTCACCTAGTGCAGCTTTTAATAACCCACCTATTTGAAAGGCAGTAGCACATCCGCGAGAGCAAACCCAAGTTTGCCATTAGCCAGAATGATCTGAACACTGAGCTAAAAACACGCAGGCAGGATCTGGGGCTCGGCTCTGGAAAGACTCCTGCAGGCTAAGGGATTAGGGCGTGTACATACATATGAAGAGGTGTGTTGTGTACAGGTGGAGAGGAAGGTCTCTGGTTAGACAATGTGGGGCTGACTCAGTGGGTCGGGGTCACCTACTATACTCAATATTTACAAGAAAGGAGCGTATAAAAATGTACAAGGAGACTCCTCTGTCTTTCCCAAAAACCCAGAACACAGGCCCTGTCGGCTAGTTCAACATGACGTCTGTGACAGCACATTGATCATCTTTTTTTCCCTTTTTTTTGTTCTATTTGTTTTTGAGTACCATTTAAAATATGCTATTTCTGTAAAATTACCTGGCTTTGCCACATAGGCCAGAATAAAGACTGATAAATAACATGAAGTATACAAACCAAAAAATAGTCAGTTTCTTTACTTTTGCAATTGACTTTTCCTAAATAAAGGAGGTTTTGCATTTTGATTCTTATATGGGACATCAGAAATCTTACTGTGAAATTTGACTCATCAAACTGAATGCATGATGCAGGGTTTCACTGACAAAAGGCTTCTCCTACAGCTCGAGTTCACTAAAGATTGCATTGGAATGGGAGAGAGATAATTCATGGGACATCTCTCTGGGAATGAACTAAATTTGGTGATCTCTTCGTCTAAGAACAACGAAAGTATGTGATTGAGGAGCACTTTTAGAGTCATATTATCTCTTATCAGCTGTATAAAACAGGAGGTTCTGTGACAAGGCTAAGGTTAAATCACTGCACTGTGTGTGTGTCTGTGTGTGTAACTGTGTGTGTGTGTCTGTGTGTGGTTAAGTGTTGTCTTCCAGTAGGGGGCGATATTACCTTATTTTTAGAGCATCAACATCATAGTCTTTTTGTTTCAGCCATGTGATTTGAGTATAGATGTGTTGTAGAGTGTGTGTGTGTGTGTGTGAGGGTGTATGTACGTGTGTATGTTTCAATAGGATATTGTTGTTTTGTCCCAATTTTGGCCTTTCTTGGTCGAGCGTTGCATCCTGGGTAGCTGGACGTCTATTTCCTCCTCGCTGTCATCTGACTCAGCGCTGGTGATGTCGTCCTCGTCGTCGTCTTCCTCCTCCTCCTCCTCGTCTTCCTCCTCCTCGCTGGCTTCCTCCTCTGCAGCCTGAGGCTCCTCCAACTTCTGTGGTAAAAAAATATTTGCAAAGTTTCACAAACGTAATCATCAGACAGTAAGCAAGAAACAAGAAATGTCAGTAATTCTTCCTTTGACTGGTTTAATACAAAGGAGACATTAAAGATGGGCGGATTGATCCAAATATTGACAACATTGATACCAATTGCTGGTATTGGTATTTGGATCAATCCTTTGTTTCTATCCTTACATAGAAATGGGATAGTATCCCACTACACACGGTCCACTGTTGGTAGCTCCTATGCTCCCTCCCTGACAGCATCCTTTTAATTCCTGAAGTTCCCTCCCTCCTACCTCCATTGGGTTCACTGTGATCGTCAGAGCAGACTCGTCCCAGGTCACGTCTGCCTCTTTAGCCGCATCTGCCAACTTCACCTCCTGCTGGTGGGTCAGGTGGATGCGGTAAATGCCCAACACTACAACCACCACCAGGGCAGCGATACACATTACTATTACCACGGTGGCAGCACTCGGTACACCTGAGAACCAAATGAAAGGAGATCAGGGATTTAATGACTATAATAATGCCAAAGCACAACAGTGTGTCACTCTGTACCTAGAAAATCAGCATAATTCTGTTTGGTCAGAAAATCTTCAGCATGTACTGAATCGGTTTATTCTTTCACTTCCACGGGCACAAAATACCCAGAACAGCCAGCTGAATGCTGGAGACCTTGAGAGGTACTGTACTATGGTCCTTGATGAGAAAGCTCCAGACATCTTAAGTAGCATCTCACCATATTACTAATCTGTGCCTGCATCAGTACGCAACCCAACATCCCACCCAAAGGAGCCAAATGTTATTGTAATTTCTTTAGTGGTCTTAGGCAACAGCTATCCAGGATCTCTGTAGGTCTTTCAAAGTTTTTCTTTGGATGTTGGCCTTTTCAGTCCTTGCATCTGATCATTTTCAGAGAAATGTTGGCTTTTTTTTTTAAGCCACTTAACACTGACATATGAATCATTCAAGCATAAAAAGGCACCAGACTCGAAGGATAAATAAACCAATGTTGTGTCTACACCTATCAAAGCATTCATTCTAAACCGTATCTTTAGACACTTCGTAACTAGCAGCTTGTTACAAAAAGACATCATTTTGTCACTTTTCTTTATCTGAATCTATGAAAACTAACAAAGATAACACAGTTTTCACAGTGTGATTCCCAAAGAGCTATTAGCTGGAAACTTGGCATATCTCGGCACGGTGTGCAGTGTGTCCTTAAAGAAATTTGAGGAAACTGGATAAGCAGAGGACAAAAGAAGTGGCAGGCTTTAAAAACTACAGCAACAGATGATCAGTATCTGAAAGTCACATCCTTATGGAAAAGGAAGAAATCCAACAAAGACCTGACACAGGACCTGAGAGATGTATCTGGACTCTGATTCTGACACTGTTCACTGAAGGCTCGTGAGAAATGGTCCTAGTGGAAGGATGGCTGTCAAGAAGCTATTCTTAAGGAAGGGAAAAAAAGAGAAAAGGCTGAGATACGCCAGATTACACAAGAACTGGACTGAAAATCAGTAGCAACACGTCTGATGAGGCCAACTTCTGGTTCAAAATGCTGTCAATATGTGCAAATTAGGACAATCCAACATTGACTGTCTACAGCCATCTGAAAAAGATGGTGGAGGTTCTGCCATTGTTCGGAGCAGGAAGTCAAATGTCCATTGCACTAAAAGCACATCTGTTTAGAAAAAACACAATGTGACACTATCAGTCATGGACTGGCCTCCCCAGAGTCCGGACCTTAACATTATTTAAGCAGTGTGGGATCATCTTTATAGAGAACAGAACAAACGATATTTTCCTAGCAAAATACAAAGATTTTGTACAGCAGTGCATAGTGAAAACAGACTGCAACATCTAGGGCTAAAAGATAGAAAGCAGAAATGGTAAGAGACAAAAAACTGTAGTGCTTTAAATGGTCACTGGAGGCAGGCTCCAAATAGGAGCAAGTCTCTACAGACTCCCATTTTAACTGTTTATAAAGTTATCATGTCTACAGGCTGAACTGTCTTGTTGACTTTAGCAAGACTGTTCAGGCTGAAGGAAATCTTATGGCAGGTTACATTTTTTATAACTAACCTGTTTGGATTTTGTTAAGCCTTAAAAAGCCTTAAAAAGCCTTAAAAAGCATAAAAAAGGCTTAAAAAGGCTTAAAGCATAAAAAGTCAATTGATTGACAGGTTTGGACAGCTTTCTGCCAGCCCTCACATCTGCTAGTTCAAGTCACGGAACTGTGTTTGCGCTGCTGATGCCTCTTCACTTCAATAATATGGGACATAAGTGCACTTTCTGTGCGCTACAGACCATGCAAGAAGCTTGTGCTCCAGTTTTGGTGCATGAAATTCGGCTGAAATTTGATAGTCTGTTCAAACTAATTAGCAAGTCTCTGTGCTGCACCCAAATAGTTTATGGGGGTACCAGCTGGTGCTACACCTTGTAGCCTAAATATGGTCACTTACTGGGTGAAAAAGTGGGTGAAATATTAAAATTTTAATTCAATTTTTCCTCCATATGATCAACACATGAAAAGTTTCTCTTTGCTGCCACTAAACAGAAGAAAGCTCTGCTAGTTGCTTGCTGTTTAAATATCCAGTTAAATTTGATATGCTGGCTTGGATTCATACAAATATGGTTTAAAATTGTGGTTTTTGTGTTTAAAAGGGAATTGTTAGAACATGAAAACAAACTTCAAAAAGACCAAATTTAAAAACTCAGTTGTCATCCTGCAGCTCCCCCTACTCCTCATGTGTTTAGTGGCTCTGCCCCCCCACCAGCTTTAAACACATTTAGATCTGGCCTGTATGCAGCACATGACTGCACAGATATATCATAGACCCTTTTAGTACCGTACCCACAACACAGACCGAGGGATTTCTCTTGAACTAAAATGTTTATTTCATCCACTCTGATCTCGAGCCTACTGAACTAACACGACATCTCTGCGCCTGCCCTCTCCCCACGAGTCCCTCCTGTGTGTGTGTGTGTGTGTGCGTGCTCGCTTGCTTAACGAGGTTGAGGCTCACAGAGGACTCTTCAATTGATCATTTGATTCGCTCTAGCTCCTAGATTTTCACATTAAATCCACGGCCTTTGATCTTCACATCTTCTTGAACCTTCATGTAACTTGTGTGTCTGTACGCACACCATGTGACACACATCTTGCCGTTTGCTAATACTCTACATACGTCAGGCCGTCTGAAACATTAGACAAAATCGCGTCGCAGGTGTAAAAATGTATTGAAACATTTTATTTGCCACGTATGGCTCGGCGATTGCCCACCATCCACCTCCCTCTGCGCTCCCCTGACCTCCTTTTCACACACACCCTCCAACTCTCTGAGCCGTTAACAGCATCGGCCACTGAACTCTCCAGGACTCTAAGTAGAATCCATTAGAGTGTGATGAATAATTAAATCTCATGTGTTAGATTAAGACCAATGTCTCTCCTCCTCTCCATGTTTTTTTTTTTTTTTTACTTCAGATCACTCATGTGCTCAGGAGGAGGGTAAGAAGCCTGCTGCATCATTTGGGAGGGCCTCAATCACGGAGAGGCGCAGAGTAGGAAAGCAGCAGTCTGATGAGCGCTGCGATAAACAAACTGGAAAGCGGAACGGAGCGTTCCCTTGGATCTCGCCATGTTTACACTGGGATGGATGGCTGACAGAAAAACTCTTTACAGGCACAGCAGAGGCTCCTGAGTCTGAGTCTCAGCATTTCACCCTCCGTCTCTCATGGTTTCCTTTGAGAGGCAGTGTTTTGTCAAGTTTACGTCGACACTTTTTCCACATTTGAATTTTCCCATTTTCTAAGCTGAGCAGTTATGTATGCAACTAATCCAAGACTCCTAATACTTTTTAGTTCTGTATTATAACTTTAAGCTTTGTAGCTCTGACTTGTTTATAATGCTTTACCTTTATTGATTTCCTTTTTTTCATGTCTCAAAATGACTTGACAACTGTCAAAAATGCATGTTTTTGTTCTCAAACAATATTTCATGAACTTTACTGAGAACCTTCTTGCTTCTTTGACTTCTTTCACCACTCGTATGTTCGTTTTTTTCCGATTAAAACTCACTGCATTACCCGTTTTGTGGAAATACTAATTTCTATCACTGCAAACCCCACACGATGAACGCTTTGTGTGTAAGATCATTTAAGCAGCGCTCTGTGCCCCCCTCCAGGATCTGTGCTATACTTCGGTCATTAACACTGCAATATGAGGGCAGGAGTCAGGGTAACTAATGCCAAACTATTTCTGCAGGGTAGTTTAATTAAAAATGTCTCTTAGTGACTAATTTCCCTATCAATGTGTGGAGCTCTATTTGAAGTTCCTGCGCTGCCACGTGTGCCAGCTACAGTGGCTGATAATGCTCATCTTTGTTATAGAAAGACTGAGTTTGAGTCCCTGAATTTATTTGGCGTTTGAGGAGTTTCTCTCTTTTCCTACTATTTGTTGCACAGTTATGGTGAAAAGGGCGATCGTGGCTCAAAGAGTTGGGAGTTCGCCTTGTAACCGGAAGGTTGCTGGTTCGAGTCTCGGCTGTTATGTCCTTGGGCAAGACACTTCACCTACCGCCTACTGGTGATGGCCAGAGGGGCCGATGGCGCGATATGGCAGCCTCGCTTCTGTCAGTCTGCCCCAGGGCAGCTTTGGCTACAACTGTAGCTGCCTCCACCAGTGTGTGAATGTGAGAGTGAATGAATTTGTGAGAGTGAATGCTTTGAGGGTCTTGAAAAGTGCTATATAAATGCAATCCATTATTATTATTAAATACTGTGCTGTGATGACCTCGCCCACTTTGCTTGGTCTGCTCTTCCTTTTTCTCGTTTTGTGTAGAAGACAGACAGACATTGTTAAAACAGGCTGATTTGTTTGGTTTTCTTTGGTTTTCTTTCTTTTAAACATCTCCACCACATACCTGCATTCACAGGTACTCATCACATGACCCATTTAGCCACTCCACATTTCTTTTGAGTTTTTGTTCCAGGAGTGTTAAACCTCAATATTATTGAAGCAGACTCTATGTAGCTTCAGAATGAACCCCTAACAACTACAGTCTGTCTTCAACTGTCCTTTATTCACTATAGAGTACTAATACCTGCACTAGAGTGATAACTCAGAATGTGTAGTAAGACAGTCTGTTCAAACATTGCATTTGTGCATGCAGAGGGCTTTGTAACTAACAGCTTAACCTATAGCAGCTGGCTACAATAATCTTCAGGGATTCATTTACTTCTACAGCTACTTTCAAGTCCTGTTCGGTATGAAATTTAGTTTACTGGTACCTGCCCATACTACAGTACTGTTTGGTTGGCAAACTTATACTTATCAATATACTTGATCACATTAAAAAAAGCAGACTATGGGTTGGAGATGTTGATATGGGTCATGTTAGCCTGGTGCTAGTTGGTGGCAGCTTTTGTGGATATAAATGAGATGGTACTGTCATGAAATCGAAATGACAGGATGCTTTCATGAGGCCTTACAGGTGTATAAAAGGTAAAAACAGGTCATTTGGATGGTGGTTGCCCGGCAACATGATAGGATTAATATATAACATGCGTAATTCAGATGTATTATATACAGATTAGATGTTACTGTTATGAAATCAAAATGGTGGTTTTATAAGTTGTTATAGGTACATAAATGCTCTGGTAGGTGGTTGCTAGGCAACCTGATGTTTTTCTAACATTTGACATAGTTAAAACCCAACAGGTGCCAAGTATGGTTGCTCAACTCCTGATGATCTAGGAGGAGTTCACGGGCAGGCAGAGATTTCATGTAATAAAATAAGATGTTTCAGTTTTTGGTGACCTAAAATGTTTCTTTCACTTTGGACCTTTTGCTTTTTACCTTAATCCATTTCAGCTTTTTCACTGGCCTAGAATTGCTTTAACAGGTTGTTTCTGATGCTAATGACACCATAACTCTGGTTTATATTAAAAATAAAACTGTCTTCCTGTCTATCGCACCAATGATGTATTAATAATCATAATCTATCCTGGCTGAAGGTGACGTTAAAAAAAATGTAAACAATCCACCCCAGTTGCTTTTTTCTTACCCGAGCTGTGGACGGGGTACAGATCCTGGATCATGGACGGATGGTGGACCACCTGCACGTACGGAGGTGGAGCTACCACGTGATTGATGTGTTCCCGCGCTTCTCCACTGTGCAGGATGCTCACCTTGGTTGAGGACACATGAAGCAGGAGCGAAGATTTTAGAAAGTACGGCCATCAAAATAAACATTTTACAACATTCAATGTTTACCTGCACAACCAAAAAAGCCTCAACTCTAACGAC